TTGCCCAGGCGGGTCTTGAACCCACGGGCTCAGGCAATTCACTCACCTCAGCCTCTCAAAGCATGGGATTACAGGCTGAGTCACCGAGCCCGGCCAGTTGTGAACTTTCAAAGATGCAAACGCACATTCGCATGCCCAGTCACATAAGTTAGTTCACATGTCTGGCATATTTTCCAAGATACTGTACTGTAAGATTAAAAATCTTTTATCTCCAAAGATGTGGCACAGGAAAAAAATGGTTTTACTTATTGTTTGTTTTTTATGTGTTTTTTGTATGAAAAGTATTGTAAACTTATTATAGTACAATACTATATAGCCAACTGTGTTAGTTGGGTACCTAGGCTAACTTTGTTGGACTTACAAGAGAACTCTTGGACCAGAACTTGATTGAATGCAGGGGACTTACTGTATTTTGCAATGCAGTGTTTATTTTACATTACATACTGGGGCCAGGTGCAGTAGCCATGCCTGTAATCCCAGCACTTTGGGAGGCCGAGGAGGGGGAATTGCTTGAACCTAGGAGTTCAAGACCAGCATGGGCAACATAGTGAGCCTAGTCTGCACAAAAAAGTGAAAAAACTAGCTGGGCTTGGTGGCGTGTGTCTATATTCCTAGTTACTTGGGAGACCGAGGTGGAAGAATTACTTGAGCCCAGAGGTCAAGGCTGCGGTGAGCTGTGATCATGCCACTGCACTCTCACTGTGTTCTGGGTGACAGAGTAAGAGCTCAACTAAAAAAAAAAAAAAAAAAAATTAAATTAAAATTTTTAAAATTTATGCATTGAAGTAGAGCACCATAAGTTTTTTTCATTAGGAGTGGCCTTTAAAAGCCTGAATTCAGTACTGGGCACGGTGGGTCACATCTGTAATCCCAGTACCTTGGGAAGAGGAGGCAAGAGGATTGTCTGAGCCCAGGGATTCGAGACCAGCCTGGGCAACTTAGCAAGACTTCATCTCTACAATAAATAAAAAACTAGCCGGGTGTATGCCTGTGGTTCCAGCTGCTTGGAAGACAGAGGTGGAAGGATCGCCTGAGTTCAGCAGGTCGAGGCTGCGGGGGCCATGATCATGCCACGGCACTCCAGCCTGGGCAACAGAGTGAGACTTCAACCAAAAACAAATAGATAAATAAATAAATGCCTTAATTCAGCTCTGGATCTATAGTTTTAAGGGTTTGGGGGCTATCCCCTAAGAGCCCCCAGGTCTACTGAATTAAAGAACTCTTCCAAGTCAGGTACAGTGGCTCACACCTGTCATCCTAGCACTTTTGGGGGCCAAGGTGGGAGAACTGCTTGAGCCCAGGAGTTTAAGACCATCCTGGGCAACATAGCGAGAGCTTGTCTTTAAAAAAAAAATTATCCGGCTGTAGTGGTACATGCCTGTAGACCCAGCTACTCAAGAGGCTGAGGTGGGAGGATCGCCTGAGCTTAGGAGGTCGAGGCCGTGGTAAGGCTGGGATCGTGCCACTGCACTCCAGCCTGGGTGACAGAGTGAGACCCCCCCCAACTCAAAACAAAACAAAACAAAACAAAACAAAACAAAACTCCGCCTCTGGAGGCCTTGTTCCCTTTGGAGCCGGTCCTCTCAGAAACCACAAATGGGAAACAATGTGTTCTCTGGGGAGGAGAGGGTCCCTTATCTTTCCTCGTCTCACCAACGGGTTTTTAAAAATCTTGTCAAATGCGTTTCATGCCAGTATCGAGACGATCATATGGTCCCTCTCCTGTAATCTGTGACTGTGGCAGAGTACATGAATACATTGTCACATGGAGAAGAACTTTGCCTTCCTGATACAAACCCAGCCTTGTCACCATGCAGCTCTCTTGAGTCTGTTTGCCAGATTCTGTTTGTTGATATTTTTTTGAGATTTCTGAATCTGTGTTCATGAGTCAGACGGGCCTGCAATTTTGTTTCTCATTTGGTTTTGCTCCTAAGGCCAAACTGGTAGGTGAAAATCGGTTGGGCGATTTTCTTTCGGGGGAACCTCTTTCGTCTCTGGGAGAACTGGCATAACATGTGAATGTTCGGTAGAACTGTCCATAAAACCATCAGGGCCTGGTGTCTTTTGAGAGTATAGTGGCGACAGTATGAGGGTGGGGGCAAAAAGTTGCTCCAGACAATTCTCTAGAGTTGAAGGAGGCAGCATGGTGGCTCATGCCTCTCCCAGCACTTTGGGAGGCTGAGGTGGGAGGATTGTCTGAACCCAGGGGTTCGAGATCAGCCTGGACAACTTGGCGAGACCTCATCTCTACAGTAAGTCAAAAAATTGTCAGGCACGGTGGCATGCACCTGTAGTCCAGCTACTCGGAAAGCTGAAGCAGAAGGACCTCAGCTACTTGGAAGGCTGAGACAGAAAGATCCCCTGAACCCAGCAGGTCAAAGCTGTGGTGGCCGTGAGCGTGCCACTGCACTCCAGTCAGGGAAACAGAGTGAGACTCAAAAAAAAAAAAAAAAAAAAGTCAAAGGAGGTACAGAGGAAATCATGGAAGCTCCACCTTCTTTACTGTAAGTGTGCGGGAGGTCTCTCTAGAGTGCAAGGTCTGAGTGGGCCCTTTTTGCAACAATGTTGCCAAGCTCCTTGCTGCCCACTGTGGAAGGAGAGCTGTAGACAGTGAGGCTGTGTGGAACTGAGAACTGAGAATGCAACACAATTAAACCTGTGAGTTCTCAAGATCAAGGAAGATGTCAAGGAACCAAAGTTTGCCCTTTTTTTGGAGTCAGGGTCTCACTCTGTCACCCAGGCTAGGGTGCAGTGGCACAATCACACCTCACTGCAGCCTTGACCTCCTGGGCTCAGGTGATCCTTCCCTCTCAGACTTCAGAGTAGCTGAGACTACAGGAGTGCACCAGCCCGGATGGCAAAATTCTTTTCATCTTCTTTTTTTTTTTTTGTAGAGAGGGGGTCTTGTCATGTTGCTCAGGCTGGTCTCAAACTCCTGGCCTCCAGTGATCCTCCCACCTCGGCCTCCCAAAGTGCTGGGATTACACTGCACCCGTCCTAAAGTCCACCCTAAAATAGGGAACGGCATAGCCCAGGTTTATGCACAAAAGCCACGTGCATCCTTAGACACACAGGGATGCCTGCATTTGTTTCCCTCTCTCCACTCTGGGGTTGTTCTGGGAAAAGCTAAGATATTGTGACCATCCCCAGAGAGGGCAGGGGACTCACCTGAGGTCACAAAGCGACTCCGGGCCAGCCCCGACCTCCCCGCGAGCCCTGGGCCCCAGGGCCCTGCCCACCCCGACTCACCTCCCGACCGGTGAGGATGTGTCGGGCCAGCTTGACCTTGGCGAAGTTGCCTTTTCCGATGGTCCTCAGCAGGCGGTAGTTGCCCACGTGCGGCTGCTCCTCGGGGCAGGAGGCAATGGAGTTCCGGCAGCGGGCGCCCAGGGAACGGCTGGACCACGAGGGGCCTTTGTCCGAGGAGCGGCCACTGCCCAGGGTGCCATGCTGGGGGGAGACGGGTGTGAGTTACCTGAGCCCACCTGCGGTGGGACCTGAGAGCCGGGCAGTGACTCTAGCCCTGGCTGCGGGCCCCTTTTCACACTCCCCGCCCTATGAGGACCACGATAGACACCTCCAAGAACAGAAAACCCTGCAGACCCCGAAATTTGTGGTATCTGGGGCCTCCAACACCAGGCCTCTTCCTCGTACCTCACTGCATTGTCTATCTCACTTTTCTTTTTTTTTTTAGTTGGAGTCTCACTCTGCCACCCAGGAGGGAGTATAGTGGCACAATCACAGCAACAGTAGCCTTGACCTCCTGGGCTCAGGCCATCCTCCTGCCTCAGCCTCCTGAGTAGCTGGGACTACAGGTGTGTGCCACCACGGTCAGCTAATTTTTTGATTTATTATAGTGTCGAGGTCTCGCTCTGTTGCCCAGGCTGATCTTGAACCCCTGGGCTCAGGCAATCCTCTGCCTCTGCCTCCCAAAGTGCTGGGATTACAGGTGTGAATCATCGTTCCCAGCTAATTTTTTAATTTTTTATAGTGATAAGGTCCCACTATGTTGCCCAGGCTGGTCTCGAACTCTGGGGTTTAAGTGATTCTCCTGCCTTGGCCTCCCAAAGTGCTGGGATTACGGGTGTGCACCACCATGCCTGGCCCACACCTCATTTTTTTTTTTTTTGAGTTGGAAAAACTCTGTCACCCAGGCTGGAGTGCAGTGACACACTCACAGCCACCGCAGCCTTGACCTGCTGGGCAATCCTTCCGCCTCAGCCTTCCAAGCAGCTGGAACTACAAGTGTGTGCCACCATGCTGAGCTAATTTTTTGATTTATTATAGAGATGACGTCTCACAAAATTGCCTAGGCTGGTCTCGAACCCCTGGGCTCAGGCCATCCTCTTGCCTCGGTTTCCCAAAGTGCTGGGATTGTAGGCTTGAGCCACTGTGCCCGGTCTACTCCCCTCCCTCCCCATTTTCTAACTACAGGCATACTTGGAGATATCACAGGATGGGTTCCTGATGACTGCAATAAAGTATCACAATAAAGCAACTCACACAAATGCTTTGGTTTCCCAATGCATAGAGAAGTTATACAGACCACTTTACTGTGGTCTACTGAGTGTGAAACAGTATTATGTCTTAAAAAAGAATGTACATATCTTAATATTAAAAACTTATTGCTGGCCGGGCTCGGTGGCTCAGCCTGTAATCCTGCGCTTTGGGAGGCTGAAGTGAATGGATTGCTTGAGCCCGCGGGTTCAAGACTCCCCTGGGCAACTTGGTGAGACCTCATCTCTACAGTAAAAATCAAAAAATTAGCCGGCGTGGTAGCGCGCGCCTGTAGTTCCAGCTACTTGGAAGGCTGAGGTGGAAGGATAGCCGGAGCACAGCAGTTCATGGCTGTGGTGGCCGGGAGCAGCCATTGCACTCCAGTCTGGGTGACAGAGTGAGACTCCAACTCAAAAAAAAAAACAAAACTTATTGCTAAAATATAACAATGACCATCTGAGCCTTCAGGGAGTTATAACAGATACTCACTGACCACAGACCACCACAAAAGATACAATAATAGTGACAAAGTTCAAAATATTGCAAGAATCACCAATATGTGACACTGAGGCCAAGCATGGTGGCTTATGCCTATAACCCCAGCACTTTGGGAGGCCAAGGCAGGAAGACTGAGCCCAGAAGTTTGAGATCAGCCTGGGCAACATGGCAAGATCCCATCTCTACAAAAAATGTTAAAAAATTAGCCAGGCCTGGTGGTGTGCACCTGTAGTCCCAGCTACTGGAGAGGCTGAAACAGGAGGATCACTTGAGCCCAGGTGGCCGAGGCTGCACTGAGCCATGATCGTGCCACTGCACTCCCGCCTGGGCGGCAGAGTGAGACCTCAACTCCAAACAAAAACAACAACAGCAGCAATTAAAAACCAAAATGTGACAGACATGAAGTAAGCAGTCACTTTTGGAAAAAATGGACCTACACGCTTGGGTGACACGGAGATCCCACAGACCTGTGATTTGTCACACACAGTATCTGGGAGGGTCAGGAAAGTCAGGCGCGGCGTCCCCCCACCTCCGTCAGCTCTGGGGCATTTTGTACTCAACGCTGCTGCCCTCAACCCCGACCGACATCCCCTCCATCTGGACTCCCTGCCACCATGCCTGGTACAGCCATCCTGTTTTATCCACCAGTGTCCCCGCTCCAGACCCCAAATGTCAACATGGGATCCCCAGTCTAAAGCCCCTCGTTTTACTCCAAGCGATGTCGCCCAGATTCGACTCCAAACACTGTAGCCAAGTTGGTAATGGCCCTAAAGTCCTGGTTGAGTCACTGTTACCTTCTTCTAAGAGCAACACTGTTGCCTCCGCCACCCTGGGAAACTGCCGCCTGATTTGGGTGGACCCACTGTCTCCTGCACCATCGTGCCTCTCTGTCCCTGGCGTTCTGTTCCCGCTGTCCTGTCCCTCCCGGGCCTCTCTCCCCCGCAGGTCACCTGCGTGCTCTGAGCTGGCCTGGCCTGGTTGGGAGCCCCAGGGACTGGGCCTGCCTTTCAGGGCTGGGGCCCAAGGTGCTGGAGGCCTCAGCCAAGACGCCGGTGCCCAGGGCTTGAGCTGCCCCCGTACCCTCAGGACTGTGGATGGGAAGCGGGAGGATAGAACGACCTGAGGAAGGAAGGTCGGGGGTGGCCGATGGGCATGGGGAGCCATGGCCAGGCCATGTGATAGGATGACGGCCCACATTTAGCTAAAGCTGGACGTTCGTGCAATACGGTGCCACGTATGGCAGTGTTATCTCCATTTTATAGGTGGGGAAACTGAGGCCCGGGGCTGGGCTCTGAACCCAGGCAGTTGACTTGAAGCTGAGGCTCTTTACCGTCCCTGTGCCCATACTCCGCCGCCTCCTTTGCCTGAACCACTTCCACCAAGTAGCCAGGGAATCTCCACAGCAGCCCCCCGAGTGAGGCACCTGTGCCTCCAAAGCCCAGAGGGGAAACTGAGGCCTAGAGAGAGAGGCTGCCTTGTGAAGGCCACACCTTTCAGTCACAAGGGGCAGAAAGACAATCGCACTGTGGGCCGGGGCTCTGTGGTATGCCCGCTGCCCACACGCCCTCACTGCGGCCTCCCATGCGGGTCCAAGGACAGCCTCCTGACGGGACCCTGAGGCTCAGGAAGGGCGAGTGCCTTGCCCAAGGCCACAGAGCACCTGGGACTTGACCGGGGCCTGCTGACTACCCCAAGCATGGAGATCTCGCCCACACCTTGCTGGGCGGCTCCAGCCCCGGGCTTCCTCCCAGGGGAGGGCGGGGTAGGGGTACAGATCCTGGTGATGATGCGGCCTCTGATCCCCACTGAGATAAGGGCTTGGAGAAGACTCCCCGTCAGGTGGCCCCAGGGGAGCCAACCGGAGGCGGGCTGGCCCCCGCGGCTGGGGGACACTGCAAGGGGCGGCTGGGGCAGTGGGTGCCAGAGCCCCTGGGGCCAGGGTGGGAGCTAAACTTGGCCAGCACCACCTGCTGGTCCAGCTCCCTCCAGTCCAGCTGGTGCCCCAACACTGGGGCCTGTTGCTAGGGAGCCTGGGGAGGCCGCCTCCTGGTGGGGGGCCCTGGAACTCGTGGTGGGGGAGCAAGACCCCAGGGCCGTGGTCCCAAAACCCAGCAGCAGGGGAGGGGGCTGCCACCTCGGATTCCAGAGAGAGACAGGTGCCCCCGCCAGGACTGGTATGCAGGTCTCACAGGCCAGAGCTGGAGAAGGGGATCGGCACCCACAAAACCCCACTATGCACAGATCTTGACATCAAAAGCAAGAACAGGTCCTTCTGTAAGCCCCATCTTGCAGACAAGGAAACCAAGGCTCAGAGAGGTAAGGCCGCTTGCCCAAAGTCACACAGCCAGGGAGGGACAGAAACTGCACCTGAACTCAAGTTCACCTGAATAATTAAAGTAATGACAACAACAACAACACCAGCTACAACATGCTGGGCACTGCATGTCTTACTCACATAATCTCGCTGGCTCCTGAAAACACCCCCGCCAGGGAGGTGCAACCATCAGTCCCATTCAGAGATGGGGAGACTGAGGTTCCAAGCTGGGAGGGGACCCGCAGGCTCACCTGACAACTAACGACAGCCCGGGCCGTGAGTCCACGGGTCGGACTCACACCCACAGTCACAACAGCGGCGACCACGTGTGGGGCACTTCCTACCAGCCAGGGTTCACCTCAATCGAGTGTTCCTCCGAGGGACTCAGGTGGTCATCCCCGTTTTCCAGGGCACGAAACTGAGGCTCAGAAAGGGAGACCCAGTTTTCTGAGGGCACAATGTACCACCAGCTGGCCAGGGTGGCATTCGAACCCAGGACTGTGGCCTCCCTGGTACCCCCCCCCGTAGTGACAAGGGAAGGGGTGCAGGAGGGTGTTTCATCAGACTCTAAATGGGAGTTCTGGCCCACAGGGATGACGGGAGGGGCACGTCTCTGTGAGGGAGCATCCTGCTAGATGGAGCAGACATAAATCTCTCTGGTGGGATGTGGGGTGAGGGAGACGGGGGCAGTGCGGCCAGAGACCCGGCAGAAGGACAGGGAGAAAAGGACAAAGACCCCAGCCAGGAGGAGTCTGGGATTGGCTGGTGGGCGGGTCTTTAGGAGCACTTGGAGGGATCAGAGTCGGGGGACACAGGGTGGCGGTCTCCTTCGGGTGGTCTGGGAAGCAGGGTAGGGGCGGGGGGGACCTGGGCATGACTCAGTGAGAGAAAGCCACAGGGGCAGTGGAAACCAGATGCCAGGAATCCTGGGCCTTGGGGAAACTCCTAGACATCTGAGAAGGGGGTTTCTAGGAGCAGCCCTTGAAACCAGAGAAGGGTCTGGGGGCCTGGAAGGACAGGGGAAGGGGCTTCGTGGGCAAGGGACAGCCCAGAGGGACAAGGGCTGAGCCTTGTGGGTGGTCAAGAGGTCCAGGAATATGGGGAGGAGGCCTCCAGCAGGTTGACCTCAAGAGAGGA